TCAATTAATATGATAGTGACCCTTTTTGAATGTAATCCTGTGGCGCATAAAGCAATTCAAATACTTCATGATTTGTAACCACTTAGAATCATGCAAATTTTGGAGGTAAAAACGCCCATGATTCCCTTCCCAAAAGCGCTCTGCAGATATGGAAGTCAGTTTTGAAATCAGCGCTTCAAGCTCTTTGTAACGGTATGCATCTTGCAGTAATCAGCCACTTCGACTCCGCGAGCCTGCCTTGTGAGCACATTTGAGAATAAGACAAAAATGATATCTCGAAATTACCCTCCAATATATGGTCGTGAGATGCCGAAAGAGCAGCGATAACTATCATAATCGAATCATAGGTTAAAGCGATAAAGAAGCAGTGTTCGTAGGGATAAAACATAGAAATTCAAATAAGACATACCTTGGCATGGTTGAACAATCCTGATAACGCCAAAGTAAATGGTAGTTGCTGGCTGAGCTTTTTCTCAAATACACCACCAACAGACCTGAAAAAGACCATATTACATGTTCAGCGTAGCGGTGGCGAGATTCACAAACAAAGGTATGTTAAATTCGGGTTACCAACTAGTAAATCGATAGCCTTTGCATGTGCTTGTATGATAACGGAGGCAGTTTTTCTAACACAACTCTGTTCTTGTCTCACAAAAAATCACAATAGCTCAAGGGCGAGGACAAAAGAGTGACTGGATTTCAGCGAAAATAAGCGAAAGTATTGGGTTGGCACAAGAGTTTCGCATTCAATTTCGTGACTTTTCTCTATTTGATTGTAATGCAATTTTTCCTGGCCATGATGTAGACTGGATAGTAGGCTACAAATATGCGCAAACACTTAATTCTCGGTAGCGACTTGGAGAAAATCCACGCATTATTTGAAAGCTAGTCAAACTCAAAATTTAAGAGACGAAAACCAAAAATAAAGCCGGTCTCAGCTTGAATCAAACGCATCAAGCCAAGACTGTCCAAGATTGTTAATAGATCCCTTGGATGAAGACGGCTTTAGTTTTGGTTTTCCGAGCTTTGAGACTTCAAGTTTGACCAGTTTTTAAACCTTGATGAATTGCTCCCAAAAATCAAACTGTTTGCGCATATTGGTAGCCTATTACTCAATTCAATATGTCCAAAAATGAATGCGACACAGTCAAAAAGAGAAGAGTTACAAAATCAAATACAAAACTTATGTGCCAACTTATTATAAACCGTGTGTTTAACAGTCCAGAAAAAAGAAGAAAACTCACCAATTTGTGTCGATACTAGCTCGCATAGTAACACCTTCATCTGGTAGTTCAGCTTGATAAGCAATAGTACCAACCGCCTAAACATAAGCAGTGCAAAACATATATATTCAAAGAAAAAGTAAGCAGCTTTAACCGAATATGAAATACCGAAAATTACCTCGCCGACATTAGCATTGCTTTCAAACTCGACTCCAAATGCGAGATTATCCGCCTGCTTATGATAATAAGTAAAATGAGCACCTGAACAAATAAAAATCAAATACGGAAAAGAAATCACAAGAAAAAAAATTGCAACCTGAAGATCCCAGAGTGGCTGCAGCCGTCCAGATCGGAGTTGTGTACCGGGCACTATATGACAGCATAGAAACCTGTTGACCTTAACATCAGCGGTGGATTTAAGAAGGATGTCAATACAAGAATGTTATGATACTAATAAGGGAAGGATACCAACTTGATCTAACGAATCGAAAGGGTGAATATGATGCCCCTACAAACACTGATTTC